ATTTTTAACTAGTTTCATGCAGTTCGCCCTTAGCTCCACTGGATATAGTCATTAAAATAGAGGGGAAAACTTTGTAAAGGCATCTATCTCTAGGGTATTTAATTTGCATTCCTTTAGTTAATAGTGAATGTAACATGTTTTCTAATTCCGAGTGGGGCTTCTTGGTGTGAGCTTTGTTCCTGCATGGCCTTGACCATGTGTCCGTGAGGTAGGCGGAAGTCCTGAGAGCATTGCTCCTAAGTGCTATGCAAACATTTATCTCGGTAGATGCTTCTCCTTTTTGCGGTCAGCTGAACTTTAGGTTATTTTTTATTTTATTTTTTTTGCTTACTCTGTTTGTACCAAAGACACACATTCTGGCATTTTGAAATACCTTAGGTTGTGTTTCAGGCTGACATCACTGAAAGGAGGGAACAAAATACTTGTTGCTCCTGCAGTGACAAGCCCCCGCCCGCGTCCTGTGAGACACTCCATGGGATAGGGAGGGTGGGGAGCTGGGTGATGCGGCTCTTACTAAGCTTGTGGGTCCAAGGGTGACTGGAAGCGCCTGTTTATCTTTGAATTTCAATCCGTTTAGTGCAAGTTCCCCAACCACCGCAGCAGAATTAGGAGGAACCCAAATTATCTTCTAACCAGACTGGGATGGTGGGACCAACAGCTAACATCCCCACCTACCAAAGAGGATATTTATACTATTTACTTATCAGCTTATTGTCTTTTGTTGAAAAATTGCCAGTAGATGGACTCCCGGCAGCAGCCCTGTCTACCGGAAGGCTTGCCTCTGGTGAACATCGTTGCTTAATCTCTCTTCCTCTGATTAACTCCTCGTTTGCCCTGATTTAGTTTGTTGCTTGTTACAGAGTGTTTTTCATTAAGCGAATCTTTTGAAAAGGTAAGAAGTTATTTCTGACTTTAGGTAGATTGTGAATCTTCCTTAATCATTCTAGCCTTAGGCAACTCAAACTTACTCTGAACATTCCCCACAGATGCTTGTTTTGAGGATTATTTTTTCGCTATTTTGCAAGGTAAGGCATAGAAATTTATGTGTGTGCTATAGTTCTCAAACAACATAACAATTTTTTTTTTTTTAAGAAAACAGAAAACCACATAGCTACATGTATTAGGGAGGAGGGGAAATACCAACACTAAAATGAAATTAATTTTCCCTAGTGCTTTACAGTTAATAGAGCATTCAAAAGGAATTAAAATTCAGTTGATTTCTCGGACTCTAATTTCAGTGAAAGGTTTGAGATGATAAATGAAACTAACAGAAGTTTTATCGGGCCGAAACCGGTTTGGCTCAATGGATAGAGCATCAGCTTGGGGACTGGAAGGTCCCGGGTTCGATTCTGGTCAAGGGCATGTACCTTGGTTGCAGGCATATCCCCAGTAGGGGGTGTGCAAGAGGCAGCTGATCGATGACTCTCTCATCGATGTTTCTAACTCTGTATCTCTCTCCCTTCCTCTCTGCACAAAATCAATAAAATATATTTTTAAAAAAAGAAGTTTTATCGGTTTAGGCCTTAAGCAGATCCATGATCAGTGGCATGGCAGAGGTGAAGTCAAGGGTGCTTGACTGTGATTTCCCACCTATGAAAATGTAAACACCCTGTTTCCCCGAAAATAAGACAATGTCTTATATTAATTTTTGCTCCCAAAGATGCGCTAGGTCTTATTTTCAGGGAATGTCTTATTTTTCCATGAAGAAGAATACGGTACACATTTATTGTTAAATGAAAATAAAGGAAATTTATTACCTGTATACGGTACGGTAGTACGGTAGTTGTCAACACAAACCAGACAAACTGTGAATCCTACAGTATCAAGAATTTACTCATTTATTCAATGACAATCATGTCGTCATCTTCTGGAACACCATCATAACAATCCAATTCCTGAATTTCCTGGTGAATTTCTTGTGACTCCATTTCTTTCAGAATCAGTGGACCAAATCTCTCATGTTTAGCCTAGGGGGGCCATATTTTCGGGGGGATGCCTTATATTTCACTCAGAAGGAAACCTGTAAGTAGGTCTTATTTTCGGGGAAACACGGTAATATGTAGGTGGCTTAAAGAAACAACGTGGCTTTTACCCGCGAAGGTCTGTGTCTGTTTGCTGCGGGTTGTTTTGTTTTTGCCAGTTTTCCTTTGGGGGGAAGGTCCTGCCCTTGCCGATCCCTGTGCAGGTACAATAGAAAGGCCCCCCCCCCCCCCGCTCTCCCTGATGACAGCCGTGGCGAGGTGTGACCTGTGAGGCTGGAAAGAAGGCAGGGCTGCTGTGCGAGGGGGGCTCCGGTGCTTGGCAGTCCTGATGGTCTCCGCCGGAGGGAGTTTGTTCTCTGAACTGTACCCAGAGGGAGATTATTCCTGCCATCGGGTGGAGAGGATTGGGAGGTAGGTCATGTAGGGAAAGGGGAATACTTGTCAAAAAGGCAAACCTAGCATCTGTATCAGCAAGTCAACTTAAAATTCATTCCCAGAGCGGTAGTTCTGTGCAGTTTCAAAGGTAACATTACAGTGAATCTTGATCTTTTGAGGTGAGGGCTAAAAACTCTCTTACTATTGAAACCAAGAAAGGGAACTGGGTTTTGTAATAGGCTAAAAGGTGTGTGTATTCTTCATTAATTTACGGTTGTATGAAGACAGCTTGAGCTACATCTGTGCTGTGTTGTCTTGGGCAAGTCATGGCACCTCTTTAAGCCTCAGTCTCCTCATCTGTAAAGTTGCAGCCTGCCTGTCAGTAATAAACAGTAATAAGTATTAGTATTTGTTATTTAAGAAGTTCTACTCTATATGATCATGTACTTTTCACTTCAGGGTTCTAGGTATAATGGAGAACTGACGGTGGTTGAGAGATTTGAAGTGAACTAATAATCCATCCACTTAATTAGATACAATCTAATTTCCTTTTATTCTTAGGCCTTAAGCAGATCCACGGTCAGGGGCACCGCAGAGGTAAATTCAGGGATGCTTGACTGTGGTTAGTGATTTCCCAGCTATGAAAATGTAACTATTTTATGTAGGTGGCTTAAAGAAACAATGTTACTTTTGCCCACGGAATGTCTGTGTCTGTTTGCTGTGGATTGTTTCGGTTTTGCCAGAATAACAGGAAATTAGGTTGTGTCTAATTAAGTGACCAAAATGAATTGGGAATCTCAGTGTAATTAAGAAGGAGCTTTAGCCATTCCTGGATACTTAATGTTCTCTCTCTCTTTGTCTCTGGTCTCTGTGTCTCTGTCTCTCATCTCTGTGTCTGCGGCGCCTCTGTTTTCTGGTGAAAGGGCTGCTTCCTTCTTACCAAGCCCGAGGCTACCCATCAGAGTCTTCACCCATTCCCCAATGAGCAGCGGATGAAAGTGTGGTTCTTTTGTCCAATAGTTGATGTATAAATTAGCACATTGTATGACAGTTTTTATTTTTTCCTTTCCAACTTCCTCCGTATTCCCTCTCTTGTCTGCCCCAGGCTGCGGGAGAGTCTCTCCCTGGCTGCCTGATGGACCCGTGACAAATCCTGCTTCCTCCCAGGGGCCTTCCTTTTTCCTCCAGGAGGTTTAGATCACCTTGTGCTCATTGTTTGGGGACTTAGTCACTGTCTTGTTTCTGGTTTGTGTAAGATCAGATCAAATGATGTCATTTGTGTGAACCCTGTCAGGCGCTGCAGAGGGAGGTGCTGTGGCCGGCTTCCCAGGCCTTGCCTCCCACCCACAGCACGCCTCTCGGCTCTCAGGGGGGCCAGCCCTGTTGGACACATCCGAGGCTCAGAAACAAGCTTGCTGATGCAAATTAAAAAACAAACAAACAAACAAACAAACAAACAAACAAATAAATAAATAAATATAAACACACACACATATATATATATATATATATATAAACATATATATATATAAACACATATATTTTAAATATATTTTATTGATTTTTTTACAGAGAGGAAGATAGAGGTATAGAGAGTTAGAAACATCGATGAGAGAGAATCATCGATCAGCTGCCTCTTGCACACCCCCTACCAGGGATGTGCCCGCAACCAACGTACATGCCCTTGACCGGAATCGAACCTGGGACCTTTCAGTCCGCAGACCGACGCTCTACTCTGAGCCAAACCGGTTTCGGCTGATGCAAAATTTGGATGCAGGCATTGAAGAAAGCTCAGCGAGTTGGGTGATCAGTCTGGCTGGCGCTCCCAGTTCATGTATGCTCCGTAAAGGGTCGGAGGGCTGGAATCTGGTGGGAAACCTCTTCCTTCGGGCCAGCCACTGGGGCTGGCTCTTCCCTCCTCACTGCCAGCCTCCCTTTCCTTTGCTTGTGATTCTGACAATAAATGGGTTGTCTGAAGCTGGCTTTATATCCTGAATGCCACTGTGAATATTTTTAACCACCTAACATTTTTTTTTAATTTGACTGAACTGTAGTGTTCCTGATATACTCTTATGTAAGTGATTGTCCTTAATTCATATGAAGGACTTGAACCATTATCTACATATAAGTATATTTTCAATGTAGGCTAACTTTTATTATTTCTGGTGGTATTCACATTACTAATTAAAATCAGTTTGGAAGGAGCTTTTATTTTTTTCCATTTTAATATGATTCAGTGAAAGTTGTGTAGAAGATTACTTCTGCATCTTCTCAATAGTTTTTTCCTTTGCATTTGCCCTTTTCCTTTCGTACTTGGAGAGATTTGGCTTTATGTTCCAGGCTTTTTTGGGGGTCATTGTCCAGCTTCCGTCTAGTGAGAGCACCTTGCTGGGGCGAGCCCACCCGAGCAGTCGGACCTCCAGCTTTCTCCCGCTGCCCCGTTCAGTGTGGACGCCGCATTTCCTCCTGTAGACCCGGCCACTGGGCCGCCTTCCGTAGTGTCCTCACAACCTGCACTTCGTCATCCTGTAGGACGGGCGTGGATCGGACACCGTTCCTCTTTCTCAGCTCTTTGAGGAGGTGACATAAGGTTCCTGCCAATGTGAGAAGGGCACTGAAACGCCTTTTATGGCTCTTGCCCTGCCCAGTACTACGACAGATTTATTCTAGACCTGAATTCCTGATTGGGGGAGAGTCACAGAGACAAGGCTGGAAAGAGATTCAATGAAATGAATTAAGATGCCAAATGAATTAGTTTGGAAATAGCTAGCTTAGGCCACATCTGGTTGGGTGGGGTTGAACTTAAGGGAATTGATTAGTCATTGGTGTTTGAGAAACGAGTATAACATGTAAAATGATTTCTTTTCCTAAAAAGGGAAAGTCTCAGGAAAGAAATCAAGGGGCCATGAGTGGTATATTGACTTCATCCCTGTACAGTACCAACAAGGATGGACTTCCTGCAGGCTAACGGGGACACCTAATTGTTCTGAACGTTTATATCGCAGGAGTTATTGATGTAAAGGCAAGAAGCATTTAAGAAGGAGCCCACCAGCAATGCCACGTTCCTCAGACGGGGCAGGATGGCTGTGGGAGAGTCCTCTGCCTGCTGAGAATGCTAGGGCATTTCGTCACTGTGCTTCCTGGAGGGCTACGTGCTTGTGGTTGGGGCAGCATCTGGGAGTGAAAGGTTATTCATTTCCTTTGGAAGATTTAATTTTTTGTTTTTAGTGTCTCCTTTATTCCAACTGGTCTGCACAAACCCTTGCCAGGTAAATGTTCTTAGAAAACTTCTTTAGCAAGTTAGATTTTGTTACAGAACATCAGCAGCTGCTGTCTAATATAACATATCCAAATGGGAGGCTCCCGAGGCTGCTGCCCCTTGCCCACACTCTGTGTAGAGAGACTTCGTCTCTCTAATCCTCGGTCCCAGAATACCCACCCCGTTCAAGGCTCATTTCTTAATCATGTCTTGTCCTCTGATTGCTACATTTTAGAATTGCCCTCCTGACACGATCGAAAGCTCTTAAGATCTAGGGACCTTGGCTTTTATAGAAACCATGTTCAAAGATTCTTGAATGTGATGATTAATTTGACTCATTATTCAGACATCTTTCCTGAGGAGAATTATTTTTAATCTGAGCCATTGATTTAGAACTTTAATCTGTCTTAAATTTCATGTACACTTCAGGGGCTATTTCAGCAGGACCCTAAGGGGGAAGATATTTCCTCAAAATTGGACTTTTAAACATTGGGATGATTATTGATAATTTAGGATGACATAACTTTAACTCCAAAGAAATGGATTAGCGGAAATGGCTCATTTTAACCTGAAGAGTCTGAGGTTTTCTACTATTCTTTTAGTAGTTGGATGGAACACACTTAAGTGCATAATTACACGGCATTTTTTCAGCCATGGAAATAATAACTAATTATTTTTCTAGCGACTCTATTTCTTTACATTAAATACATCGCAGTATCCCTGAAAATATGTGGTATGTTTTAAATTTGGAAAATGTGTGATGTGATGATATGAAGAGATGGCTGATGTAGGTAGTTTCTTACATTGTGTTCATTTGAACTTGAAATGTTCGCCATATGAAAATGAGTATCATGTCAAAATGGTTTAGATGAAATAGAGTACAGTGTTAGTATTTTGTGTGCAACAAAGCACCGAGTGTCCAGATCCTAAAGGTATAGTTATTACCATTATCTGAATTCTCTCTGATGTCATACAAAGGTATTCTATTCATTTGGGCACTTAGGGTTTTAACAATTTTAGTGGACAGAAAGGAGAATGTGGGCTTCAACTGTAAAGTAATAGATTTCCCCAGATGTATAGTTTGTCACCAAGTAAGAGAGAAATATAAAGTTAAAACCTGCTTGGAAGTTTTGAGCCTTTCTTTGTAGCTGTCAACATATACCAACCACATCCACCTCAGGAGAAAATTCTAGCCAGTCCTCAGTGGCTGTTTTGCGGCTGGGATGGGCAATGAAGGCAGTGAGAGTGGAGATCAACTGGAGGAGGGGCCAGGTTGGAGGTATCGGGGAATTAGGAGGATTTGGTAACATTGAATGTGGGTGTTGGGGTGAGAGAGAGGAGTCGGGGATGAAGTGTGGGTTTCTGGCTTGGGTGGCAGGAAGGATGTTGCTGTCCCTCACCAAGAAAGGGAATATAGGAGAAATGTCAGGTTTGGGAGGGAGGGTAAGTTCAGACAATGCACTGATTCCAGGCCGTCAGTAAATAATGAGTGAATGAATCTGGGTGTGTGAATTGAGATGTCTGTAGGGTATAAAGGTTTTCTGCGTTTACCTATAAGATAGAAAAGGTAGACCTGGTCTAGGGAGAGAGCCTTGGGATCTGTTGAAACCATGAGGTTGTCAGGAGCACGGAGGATACTACCATGCAAAGAAGAAGGGTGTGTGTGTCTCTGGCGATAACCAGGGTGAGTGGGTGGGGGAAATGGGAAGAAAACCAGGAGAGAGTGGGTGTGTGCTGAGAGCCGAGGAGGAGGCTCACCTCAAGAACAAGGGAAAGTGCAGCAGAAAAGCCAAGAAGTTGGGCCATTGGGGGGCTGGTATTCGGAGAATGGGGGGCGGTGGGGACGTTAAATCCGACACACGTATGTACATGATATAAGGGGTGATAGGTGACTAGGAGTTTGATGAGTGGCAGGTGGATTTTGATCGACGAGGTGGGTGTGCATACGTGTGTGGAGAGAAGCCTGCAGAGGCGCAGAGGCAGAAGAGGGAGGCTGCTTTTTCTAGAGAACCAGCTGGCGTGGTGGGTGGAACAAATGACGTCCCCCCGTGGGCGTGGTCTGGGCAAGGAGGAGCCATTCAGGGAGAAGTAACCTGGTCAGGTCTATGACTTTGAAGCCGATAGCAGAGTGAGAGAGAGTCAGGGATGTTGTTTGGGCGGCTATTGCAGTCACCTGGGTGAAGGTCATTAGAGCTACAAATGGGACAGCTGCAGTGGGAGAGATGATTCCAGAAGTCTGGTGGGCAGATTAGCACCAGATTGACCAAGGGGTGGACCGAGAGGAGGGAAAAGGAGGAGGCGGCGGTATGGAAGGTGCCTGAGAGGGTGGCATTGCCATTGAGGAAACAGAGACACCAGAGGAGGAGAAGCCGGCCTAGTGAGGAGGCGGTGGGACAGTTCAGTGTTGGGCACCTTTGCAGAACGTTTGTGTAGCAATCAGCTGGCACCCAGAACCCAGGGGCCTGAAGCCGGGGAGAGTGGTCATGGCAAGAGACAAAGATTTGGAGCATGAGCTCATCATCCTTGAATTGGAAGTAGTTGAGATTTATTTGAAGGAACGCGAGAAAAATAAACCTTGATGTGGCCGTGGACCGTAAAAGAAAACTTCTCAGACCACTTCAGTGTATTTTTAACTTTCTTAGAGCAAAGCCTTTGATGACCAGAATGTGGACATGCCCCCCAAACAGCCGAAAATTAACACAGCAAGAAGATGTTAGGAAGTCCAGTCAGTACGCTTCAATAGAAATGCTGTTATCTTAGCGGTTTTTTTCCTCTCGGGTTAAACTCCGTTTCTTCAATTCTTCTGTTTATTATTGTTGATAAGAGACTTCAGAAGACTGGTGAGGAGTAGTGGGTTGGATTTCTGAGAAGTCTTTGAAGATGAAATATACTGCGTTGAATGTGGTATCATTGCATGTTACTCCCTGCTTTTGGCACCAGGATACCTAATAATTGGTATTTTAATGAAATGTCCAGAGAGGAATGAAAAAGAAAACCCTTAAGTGGATTTTATCTTTTTTCAGAAAATAGGCTGGTAACAATTTATATTTAAACTAAATACTGATTTGTAGAACCTTGCTTTGGGATTTCCCATAAGAATCTTCATTTTTCTGCTTTCCTTCCTAACATGTGTAAGCAGGTAATACTGCTCTTCTGTGGAAATGTGAATTAAAACAGAAATGAGTATTTTAAATCTGGGATTTCCAGCAGTTTGTTGGGTGTTCTAGAATTTGTGTAGGGATGTGAGTGATGGCAAGTGTTCTCTCTGAGTGCCCACTCCTCTCTGTACTACTTCCATTAAACAATTAAAAAAAAAAATTTGATTTCAGAGAGGAAGGGAGAGGGAGAGAGAGGTAAAAACATCAATGATGAGAGAGAACCATTGATCAGTTGCCTCTTGCATGCCCCACACTGGGGAGCAAGCCCACAACCCGGGTGTGTGCCCTGACCCGAAATGCAGCTGTGATCTACTGGTGCCTAGGTCAGAGCTCAACCACTGAGCCACCCCGGCCCGCCTTCTTCCACTTCGATTTAACGCTGCAGAAAAGAGATCACTCTTCCTGCTTTATTCCCAGTGCTTGGCTCTGGGTGGTGGCAAGTCATACAGAACCATTGCGATATTGTGATTTATAACAAGAAATATATATTTGTTCCTGGAACAAAACTCCAAAAACCCTTGAAATTTCCTAAGTGGGAATTTCTATAAAAGTGACAGAAGTGTCTTTTGGTATTCATAACAAGCCCCTTTCAATCACACTTTAGTTTGTTAAATGAGGTGACTTTAAAAATTTATATTTTTATTGATTTCAGGGAGGAAGGGAGAGGGAGAGAGAGAAACATCAGTGGTGAGAGAGAATCAGCTCCATCCTGGAGATGGAGCCTACAACCTGGGCATGTGCCCTGACTGGGAATGGAACCGTGACCTCCCGGTTCATAGGTCACTGCTCAACCACTACCCCACGGGCTGGGCAAAGAAGGTGACTTTTGAAAACCTCTAAGTCAAGCATGTCAAACTTATGGCCCATGGGTCACATGCGGCCCACAATGAATATTTTTACAGCCCAGCCAATACAACAGTAGGTAAGAAGAGTTTAATAAAAATTTCATAACTTTAATTTTTACAATATCCTGTCATACATAATTATTAATAACTGAACTACAGTGTTCGCTAATAACTGATTACTGTAATTTGTTGCATTCATTTCCATAATGCGCCTTACGCACAGGCACACCATTTCTCTTTGCTAATACCACGTTTCCCCAAAAATAAGACATCCTCCGAAAATAAGACCTAGCGCATGGAAAGGTAAGACAATAAGACCTAGCAAAACTTTGGGAGAAAAAATTAATATAAGACACTGTCTTATTTTCGGGGAAACGGTACTAGCAGCGAATATTTTAGCAGCTGATTGCCACGTCATTAGTCTTGGACTGACTTGTTTGGTGTGCGCAAAAGGGAATATTTCACTTTCGGAGAATAAGAAAAATAGGTTTATTTGAGTTAGGCTTATTAATTTGTGCAGTTATTCAGTGTCTGGTAAGTTAATGTTCAAGAAAGAATATTAGTTTTTATAAAAACGGTCTATATTTTATGTTAACAATGACTCATTTATTTCAGCCCTTTGTATTCAGCATGTCTCTATCGAAATAAACCTACGTTTCTATGGAAAGTGAAGCTTTTGGGTTTTTTTGCAGCCCGCATAAACTTAAACCTTGTTTATTCGGCCTGTTTTAGCCTTTGAGTTCAACATGCTTGCTCTAAGTATTTGGAGGCTGGTTTCAGGGGAAGCAGATAGGGACCAGAGATTGAGCTGAGTCACCAGTGCCAGTGATTTAATCAGTCGTGCCTATGTCACGAAGCCTCCATAAAAATGCTGACTGATGGGGTCGGAGAGCTTCCTGGTTGGTGAACACCGGGAGGTGCTGGGAGGCGGCACCCTTGGAAAGAACATGAGACTCTGAGCCCCTTCCCATGGGCCTCATGCAATGCCTCTCTTCCTTCGGCTGCTCCTCATTGTGTCCTTTGTAATAAGTGGGGAATAGTAAATAAAAAAGCACTTCCTTAAGTTCTTGAGCCATTCTGGCAAATCACTGAACCTGAATGGGAGGGACTTGGGACTGTCAGAAGCACAGGTGACCACCTGGACTTGCCATTGGCATCTGAAGTGGAAGGAAGTCTTGTGAGATCGAGCCCATAGTGAACCTAGGGGAGGGGCCGGCAACCTTTAAGACATAAAGAGCCACTTGGACCTGTTTTCGAAGGAAAAAAAACACACCTGGGAGCCTCAAAACCATTGCGACATTTAAAACAAGTATAACACTGCATATATTGTTTCTTACCTTAATGCTATATACCGGATCGTGCAGAAAAAGGATTTTTTCACTTAACAAAAAGAGCTAGGGGGTCTGTGCTAACCCCAGGTAGTTAATGTTAGAATGAATTAAATTGCGGAACACACAGGTGATCATCTGCAGAGACTTGCTTGGTGTGGGGCAAAACCCCATCTATCTGATGTCAGAAGTGAAGTTTTGTGAGGAGTGGATCAGAGTACAGAAAAGGAGTATTTTGTTGTTGTTTTCAGCTAAGAAGAGACCATTTTCAACACAGTGGAAGAGGCACACTGACTGCTGAGAGCCAATGGCTCATGTGTGTGGTGCACTTACAAGGCATTTTACCTTTATAGGTTCAGCTCATCCTCACACCAGCTCAGAGAAGCATGGAAGAGGCCCAGAGAGGTTAAATAGTAGCTGCTAAATAGAGGAACCAGGATGAGAAACTGGGCAGTCTGGTATGAGAGCCCACACTTTTAGAGCAGGGGAAGTGACAGTCTATATTTAGGGTGACTGCCACATTAGCAAACATCAGCATAAGACTCTGTGCTGAGTGCATGCAGCTTGGGCCTCGGGATGGGGGGCGGCGGGAAGGGAAATCATAAGGTTGAGGTTAAATTAATCTGGATGGTGTAGTCTGAAGTCAAGAGGTGGATGGTGGAAAGGGGATGGGGACCAGATTATGAAGATAGGGAGTCTCCTTTTACATCATGGTTTACCTTGAAATCCCTAGAAATATACAGTTCTGCTTATATTGAATATGTACCGTGTATATTCAGAAGAGGCCCAAGACCTTTCAGTTTATAGCATTCTTACTTTCATACGGATTACACTCATTGCAATGTTAAAAATGCGCATGTATAACATGGGTGGGAATTACGATAATTATAATGGGAGTGGCTCACAATTCCAAAAAAGCTAGGGATGTCTGCATGGTTTATTGTAATTTAAAGAGCAGTCTGTAATTGTAGGCTTTGGAAATTTGTTTTAAGGAGTGGTAAAGGAAGGCATTCCAGAAGATGGTTGTATGTTGCTGCATTTTTGTTTACCTCTCAGATCAGAAAGAGAATTTAAAAGACGTGGGTGTGTTCCAAAATTAAAATAAGTGACTCACACCCTTGTTGTTGCACTGACGTTGCTGGAATGTTTGCAGTAAGTATTACTGAGCAGGGCCCATGCGCAGAGCTCAGCAGGGCATACAGTTGGGTTTATTCTGAAAGAGTACTCCTTTCGTATAAGGAACTCTGGGATTACACGCGGAGACCAACATAATATGATGCCACGTGTGAATTGTAACAGCTCTGTAATGAGCATAGAGCAACCCAAAGAAATTAAGACAAACACACCAGAAGACCCATAAACATACCCTTGGTTTATTTATATGTGTAAGTGCTGAGCGGTGGGTACCTGGAGGCCGAATAGGAAGAGGCAGACCTGACGGTGGTAGGAGCTTGGCTTTGGGTTTTGAAAGGCTAGAAGCTCAAACAATGACAAGTGTCTTTTATTTTTCTGTAGAGAAAGCACTGGTTTCTGTATTGAAAAGGTTTAGATCACCTCAAAAATGTAATGAGCTTTATAGACTTAGTTTCAGAAATGCCACACATGTCTCTGATGGGATCATCTCCAGGGGTAGGTTAGTGTGGGTAGTTACTTTCTAGAAACCCTGCACAGTAGTCTATGAGATTGGGATAGCTCTTCATTTAGGATGTTCCATTTCACTCTTTTTCTGTAGTTATCAAATCAGACATTTTTGCTAGAGTCCAAATTTATATTAAAAAGGAAAATAAAGAGAATTGTTTTTGAGCTATTGTCAAAATAAATATGAATTTCTTGAAACAGGTCAAAATGTTAAATAATGTTTTGTTCAGTTTACTAAAGTAATTCAGAATATAGTAATTTTTAAATAATAGTTGGTAAATAGAGGTATTATGAATAGTATTATGAATACTCTTTAAAAAAATATATTTTATTGATTTTTCACAGAGAGGAAGGGAGAGGGACAGAGAGTTAGAAACATTGATGAGAGAGAAACATTGATCAGCTGCCTCCTGCACACCCTCTATTGAGGATGTGCCTGCAACCAAAGTACATGCCCTTGACTGGAATCAAACCTGGGACTCTTGAGTCCACAGGCCGATGCTCTATCCACTGAGCCAAACCAGTTCGGGCTATAGATACTTTTGAAACCCCTGGAATCACTTCCTGGCCCCAATTTTCTCCTTCCCTTTCTTTCCAGTTCTTTTAAAAATACTTAAAAAAAAAAATTGATTTTAGAGAGGAAGGGGGAGGGATAGAGAGCTAGAAACATCAATGATGGGAAAGAATCATTGATTGGCTGCCTCCTGCACCCTCTGCCCCCTTTCTGGGGAATGAGCCCCCAACCCAGGCATGTGTCCTTTGACCGGAATCAAACCCAGGACCATTCAGTCCGAAGGCCAGCGTTCTAGCCATTGAGCCAAACCAGCTAGGGCCTTCCCAGTTCTTTTTTGGTCATTGCTGCCCATGTATTTTATACGTCTTCTCTGTGTGTCTGTGTAAATAGTTGTCATTGTTAGTGTTATTTTACTGCTATGAAAACATTTTCTTTATAGGTCACTTCTGTTGCTCAACCTTGCTTTTGAGCTGGATCTTTGTTGCTCTAGTTTGTTCTTTTAAACTGATCAACACACCACAGTGTATCCATTTTCCTGCTGATGAACATTTAATTGTTATTTCCTCCCATTTTTCTCTATAACAAATGACATTGCAATAAACATCTTTATGTGTTTCCTTTGGTGCATGTGTAGGACTTTCTGTAGGTTATGACCCCAGCAGTTGCTTGAATATAGGGAAGGGAATTAGCTTCCTATTCATTGGCCTTAGGTAGCACCTGCCATAGGTGGTGCTTCAGAGCTATCTTTAAAATGGGAAGTTTGAGGATTAAGAAATTATCTCTTTTTAACTTGTATGCTCATATTTTATTGGAACT